CCCCAAAACCCCAAAACCCCAAAACCCCAAAACCCCAAAATTTATTATATAAATTGAATTAAAATGTTCCTTCATACATCAATTGATAGGTCCAAGTTCGATAATAATGAATACAGAGAAACAGATCCTCCAGAACAACCTTCAGGGTTCCGGAAGCAGAAGAGAAGGTTCATGGTGAAATCTAGCAGCTCAAGTACGTTAAATTAAGGAGTTTGTAGGATTAACTGCTAAAAGCATAAAGCCTAAGAAAACCGTCAGGTTCGCTCTTGACCATCAAGGTAGCTTTCTGATTTTAATTAAAGACCTTGTGAAGGAAAATACTTTACCTGATTCTTCATCATCCCCAGTTAGAGAGAAAGATGTTAAAATTTGTCCAGGTAAAGTCTCCCATAAAGTCCATTCAGTTTCATCAATGCCAAAGGAGAAAGTAGACACGAAGATCAAGCGGAGCCAAAGTAATCTCATGACTCGAAAAGAGCGTGGAAAGTGCATTCATTTCCTGAACTATAGATTCAAAAATGGAAGTTTGTCTTCAATAAAATAAGAGTTTTACTAAAATGATGCAAAATCAGCCAAATTTTAAGGAAATCAAAAGGATGTTTAAAAATAGTCAGCCTTCTGTTAGTAGGTATAAGGCATGATCGTTTCAGAAGAGAAGTTCAGGTTCAAATACCCTAGAAATAATGCTCGAAATAAGTCAATTTTGGCTATCAAAGATAAAAATTCTGTGAATACTTCAGGATTAAGGAAATTTCAATATGGGTATCAGAGCGAGAATGAACCACAAATGTCCCATATACAAGAGTCTCGGACTTATGATTCCAGGGCTAAACGACTGGAGTCACATAATGTAAGGTAAATATATCCCTTTAAATTTGCAGAGAGTAAAACCATAAAGCATCTCATCCTTACTCCAATAGGTGAAATAAGAGTCTTTATAAGCCTGTTAAAAACAAAACGTATGAAAACTGAAACTGACATCTAGAGATGCCAAAAATCACTGAGAATCACGAAAGCTAACCCCTGAGTTCTATAAAGCTTTACTAAAGCATGGAACATTCATGAGGGAGAACATTCGGGAGAAGGGTGGTTTTCCATCACGTGCTGAGGTACACAAGAATGAATACTCTACTCAAAGCTCAGTTGAACGATCTCACCAGAGTGCATTCTTCAATGCACCATTCAACCCTAATTCCTTCAGGAAGAGCAAGGTAAGTTTGTGGTTATAACCCCAGCTAAAAATTCGGAAAATCCGGCCTCAAACAGGCAGAAATGTAATTTAAACCCTTCAAAATCTAGAGGAAATATTTCCAGGAAAAGATGAGTGTCACCAAGAACAACTTCTTTAATTAGGCTCTTCAGGGCTCTAGCCTGGCATGAAGGATTTTAGGATGAAGCAATAAAGACGCCAGAATTTATTGGTAATGGGGTTCAGTGAGATTAGAAGTTGAAGATTAAGATTTTCAACAAAAAAAGGATTTTGAGGGGTTTTGGGGTTTTGGGGTTTTGGGG